GCACTGTGTCATTTGGAAGACACAAGAGAGACAACTGCACCTCTCTTTAGGAACCTTAGACAACTGAACTGCAGTATACTCGAATTCGTCTTTTCCAGTCATCCATTTAATACTGGAGTCCCCTTCATATTACCCAGAACAGGTACCCATTCAACCCCCGCTTGGGCTCTTCCTGTGACGGGAGCTTCCTGCCACTCAAAGGAACCATTCCCGCTGGGCTCTCGTGCTGAGTATAGAGAGCAGCAGACTCTCAACACGTACTGATTGTATGAAGGCCATGAATTGACGGCTTGAGTTATTCTTCATTTATTGATTAATCCATCGGTTACAAATTTTGCTCTTATAATGCCCATGCTTGCCTCTCTTGGAGCTGCTCAAACATTTGCAAGTGTCTCTGACTGAACACCCTTGAACCACAGCCTCTAATGCCAATTCTCAGCCAGCACCTCGGAGAGTTCCCGTGGCTTCAGGTTGCCTTCCTCTGCCTGCCCACGGGGGCTCCCGGAGTCATTTTGGTTGCCATGGGGAGGAGACACCAAAGAGCGGCGATTCCACGTATTCTGGAACCAGACAGCCCTGGATTCAAATCACCACCCCCATCACCACCACTCACAGACTGTGTCTTCTTGCAGTTTATTTTATCTCTCTTAAGCCTCTGCTTTCATCTATAAAATGGGTGCACTAATTGTATCCACTTCATAGGGTGACAGGGATTCAATGAGTTCATGCAGGTCAGAGGCGCAGAAGAGTGTCAGGCACACAGAAAGAACTCACAAAGGAGATTGGTATGGTTATCAGTATACTTTCTTTTCCTTTTGCCTTCTTTTTCTTTGAGCGAGGTGGAGAACTCTTCAGCAGACAAGGGCCAATTTCAGACACCTGTGTTTGCTTCTTCCAGAAGTTCCCATTACAGTTGACGCAATGCGGTCAAGTCTGCCCTTTACACATCCCCACCAGGCTCCTGGCCACCGCCAGCAGGATATGCTTCTGACCACATTCCCGGAGGGGCGGTGGCCGGCTCTGTGCTGACCGCTCAGGGCCTCTGCCTGGGTACCCTGTCCTAGAGAAAACGCTGGTCAGCACCGGCAAACAGAGCAAGGCTGCCTGACCTGGAGGCCGAGGCCTTCTCTGCAGGTCTCTTCTGAGATGTCGAGTTTGTTTGACTTCCACCCAGGGAATGGGTGCTCTCAGGCTGCGTTGTCCAAGCCCACAATTATGGAACAGCCTAAAGTGACCTTGAACATGAAGAGACACCAGCCCTGCCCTGGCTGTGTCCACCGTGCCGGCAGCCAGGCGGTCATGCGTGGGAGTGTATGAGGTCGAGATTTTCTCTTGCCCATTTCACAGTCTTCCTGTCGGGGCTCGGAGGTGCTGCGGCAGGAAAGATGTCTAGGTTGGAACCAGAAAAAATTCACCCTATATGCTAGAATCCACTACCTCCTCTTGGCCACACTGCCAGCCCGATAGGACTCCTGGGTTAGTTTTACTAAAGAAGCGAGTTTTAATCAGACTGCTGAAGAAAAGGAGGAGAGTAGGCAAGGAGACACAGCAGAAGACTGTGGGCTTTGGAGTCAAAAGACATCGGTTTGAGTCCCGGCTCTGCCTTTCACTAACTGGGGGAGCTTGACATGGTGCTGAGCTCTCCTGAGCCTCTACTTTATTATCCGAAAATGGGAATGACAAGATCTTCTTCTACATAGTGTTATTATATCAAATGAGATCATGTAAATACAAGTACTGTCTTGCTAGCCTGATTTTTTTATAGCAAAATATATGCAGGTCGACTTTTCCACTTAAGTGTTTTACAGTCCCAGGATAATGCTTATATAATCTATCTCCTTATCTTTTCTTCTGCGTGCCTGTAAACCACCCTCCCAGATCCCACATGCCCAAATAGGACCCACTATTCAAAGCCTGGCTCTAAAATCACGTCCTCTATGAGCTCCCCTACACACACACACACACACACACACACACACACACACACCCCTGGAAGAGATCACTTCTGCTCTCTCTCAAGTCCCACGGCAATTTATCAGTTCACTTCTGGTGGTCAATATTTTCTACCTTGCATTACAACTGTTTGTTGACTATAAGCTCCTGTCCAGTCACAAATCTTGCCATGATTAGAAGCTCCGTAAGGATGGGATTTATGGCTGGTTCACCTTGAAGTCCCCCCTGGTGCTTGACATGAGGTGAACACTAAGAAACAGTGTCCAATGAATAGGAAAGTTACTGCTCAAGATCCTGGCTGCCACCATCCTCTGGCTTTCTCTCTTCTCCAGTCCCACCTCAGGACAGGAGGCAACCTCATTCTGCTTCCTACAATTTCCTGTGTACTCCTACCCCCAAGGCCAGGACAGCTTTTGTCATAAAGTTTCTGAAGGTCTTTTCTTTTTTTTTTTTATAGAATATGAATTGAAAGAGAGAGGAAGGGAGAGGGAGAAAGACAGAAACATCCTGTAGGACAGAAACATCAATCGGTTGCCTCTGATGTACGCCCCCTACTGGGGATCAAACCCACAACCTGAGTATGTGCCCTGACCAGGAATCAAACCGGTGACCCTTCGGTGCACGGGATGATGCTCAGCCAACTGAGCCACACCAGCCAGGGCTTGGGGTCTTTTTGATGATAACGGATAACAAAGTGACAGGAATACGCAATATCCAACTTCCACGTGGTGTCCCATGAGAGCTATTGACTCAACACATCCCGAATTGAACCCAGTCTTCCTCCCTCCCGCTCTGCCACCTTCCTCTGCTTACTTTCCAGCTCAGTGGGAACCCGACAAAGTTCAATCTCTCTCTCCCCCTCTCTCTAATCCATTTAGATTTCTGACTTCGAGTTGAAGTTGGAATGGTTGTTGGGATTGGATGGATGTATTTTTCATCTGGAGAGAACAAGAATTTAGGGGCTCCATTGAATTGGACACTGTACGCTGAATTGTCCTCCAAAAAGACATGTGATATTCTAAACCCCAGCACCTCAGAACGTGACCTTACTTAAACATGGGGTTGTTGTGAATGTAACCAGTTTAGACAAGGTCTTGCTGGTACAGGAGGGTCCTCTCATCCAATACGACCAAGGTCCTTATAAAAAGAGGAGAAATACACAGGAATTACAGAGACATCGATGGGACCTATAAACCAAGGAGTGACAAGGATGCCTGGCACACCTCGGGAGTTGGAAGAGGCAGGAAGGATTCCTCCCTATGGCTGAGGAAGCATGGCCCTTCTAGCATCTTAATTGGCAGTGTCTAGGTTCTAGAACTCAGACAATAAAATCTTGTTGTTTGAAGCCACCCAATTGGTGGGACTTGGTTACTGCAGCCCAGGGAATTCATCTACCCACCATCCTTCAGCCGGTGGACAGTGACTGGCCTCCTCTTGTTTCAGCCCCCACAGCTAGGTTCATCCCAGCTATGTGTCACCTCTTGTCTCTCCTATCTGCCTCCTCTGACTTATTCCCACCAGCACACCCTCCGATTAGTCTTCCCTTGCTTCCCTGGACTATTACAAAGGCGTGAAAGTGAGTGTCCCACCAATCTGTCATCCACACTGCTGCGGGAGAGCTCTTTTCAAAATATTGATCTGATCGTGCTTTCCCCTGATTAAAACCCTGTAGTGGTTCCCTGAATCCTCAAGACACTGAAAAAGAAGTGTAAGCAGCCCTGGCCTGTTTGGCTCTGCAGTCAGAGCGTCGGCCCTCAGGCCAAGGGCATGTACCTTGGTTGCGGTTCATCCCCGGCCCTGGTTGGGGTCATGAGGGAGGCAGCCAGTCGATGTGTCTCTCTTGCGTCGATGTTTCTCTCTCTCTCCCACTCTATCTGAAGATAAATGGAAAATATCCTTGGGTGAGGATAAAAAATAAATAAATAAATAAAAATATTGTCTTTGTCATTATTATTTAAAAAAAAAAAAAAGGAAGTGTAGCCCTGGCCGGTTTGGCTCAGCGGTTGGAGCGTCCGCCTGCGGTCCGGAGAGACCCGGGTTCGGTTCCCGTTAAGGGCATGTACCTCGGTTGCAGTTTGTCCCCGGCCCTGGTTGGTCGTGCAGGTGGCAGCCACTCGATGTGTTCCTTTCTCATCGATGTCTCTCTCTCTCTCTCTCTGTTCCTCTCTCTCCCTCCCACTCTACCTGAACAAAAAAAATGGGAAAATGTCTTCGGGTGAGGATAAAAAAATAAATTTAAAAAAAGGAAGTGTAAGCATCTCTGTGTAGCTCAAGACCCTCAACAATGAGGGCTGCAACCATCACCCCGGCATCATCTCCTGCCCCCCCCCACACACACACACACGCACGCACACATGTACCCTCTGCCCCACACCTACTGGAATATTCCAACAGCAAATGAGTTTGTTTATCTTAGGGCCTTTAGAATCTATTGCCCAACCTTCAACTTCATTCTTCTTCACCTAACCTCCTCCAAAACCAGCTCAGATATCACTGCCTTCAGGAAGTCTTCTCTGAACTCTGCCCCTGTGTGCACGTTCACTGGGTCACCTCCACCCAGCACACTTCTGCCACTAAATGCAACTCTTTCGGTGCGGGGCCCATCTCTGTCACGTGTCTCTCCAAAGCCATCACGGTCACAGAGCAGGTGCCCAACAAGTAATGATTTCGTTTTACTTATTTATGTTTTTATTTATCAATGTTCAACTATTGTATTTATCTTTGGGGGTCAGGCAATGTGCTGAGCTTTCGCGTGCGTTGTTGCGTCTCTTCCTCCCACCACCCCTGTGCGCTGAGCATCATTACGTTTCTGTTACCGCTAGAGAGGCGGCGTCTCAGACAGACGCAGCAGCCGCCCAGCACCCACAGCGCAGAAGAGCCAGGAGAGTGTCCAGGCCAGGCCGCCAGGCTCCCCCACGCCGCCGGGATGATGAAGGGACGAGCCGACGAGCATTGGAGAACTCTCAATTAAAAGTTATTCCCTGCAGTTCATCAGAATGCAAATGGAGACCTCCCCAGTTTCACTTGCCACTTCAGTATCGACTTACTTCTTGTCTGGAGGGAGAGAGCGCGAGCGAGCCACCCTCCCGTGGCTGAAGGAGCCCCAGTCCTCATCCGTCACACTAGCGATGTGTGTCTGTGTCCGGGCAGGGGAAGGATGAACACAAATGTTATAAACATTAGCAGAGGCAAAGGAGGGGCTGTTTTATCTCCTCACCACAGAACATCAAGCCGGAGCCAGGACTACACCCTAAGTTTTATTTACAGTGTATGGTGGGTAACCGTCCTGGCAAGGGAGGCGCCCTCCTCACACACCCCCACACCCCTCGCCTTGTTAGAGGCAAAGACGAATTAAAAACACAAGCTGCTCAGAGAGAGATAAATCAATTTTCATCAGAGCAGCGCTCCTGACACCACCCCGACAAATCAATATATTTCTCCATAATGGAGTCACTAAAGCTGCAACCAAGTCACAGGAAATGCAAAGCAGCCTCATAAAGAATATTGCAAAGTAATAGAATATCTAAATCTGAATTTCAATTATCTACCTTCAAGGGCACACTGATGTCTGCAGGAGGGGAGTCCATCAAACATTCATGGAGCCTGGCTTCACTGGCCCCGGCCAACAGCAGCCTGGGCCCCCGGGGTTCCCACTGCTCCGAGTTGCAGGAGGAGAGCTTCACCCAGCCTGGAGAAGAATCCAGACTCCCCGGAACGCACCCCTCTGTAAGGGCGGTGGCAAGCTCTGTAGAGCCCATCCAGCTCGTTTAGATGTTCCCTGCGGGCCCTAGAACTGGGGCAAGAACTGACACCTGCCTGGTGGCTTCTAGACAGGCTCAGGGGCACTGCACCCCAGCTAGCACTAAGATCAAGCCCACCTGGCTCCATCCCCCAGAAACGAAGCAGGAACTCACCCAGGCCTGAAGGGAGGGAGGCGATGCCCCACCCTGCTGCCTCCTCACCTTCTGCCATCTCTTCAAAGACTCTCAGGGAGCGGGAGGGGGCTGACCCCTGAGAATGGCAGCCAGTTCCTTGAAGGTGTCCCCTGGAAGTCACCTTGGTCATGCACGTGCCTCACTCAGATCTCTGCATCATCATGACAGGGACAGCAACCACACAGGTGGTGTATTGGCTAAGAGGCTGGAGCCAATAGCCACAGTCTAGGTCCGAACACTGGAACTACCACACATCACCTGAGTGGCCTCGCAAGCCTCAGCTTCCCCATCTGTGAAATGGAACAAGGCCACCCCACCTCACAGGGTTGACCATCGGCAACCTTTACTGAAGGCCTGACCAGGCGTAGGGATCATTCAGAGCCCTTGAAAGGCGTCAAGCCATTTTACCTTCGCAACTATTTGGTGAAGTTGGTATTATTTTTCTGGCCATTTTACAGATGAGGACGGTGAGGGGCAGAGGTTTGGTAAAGGAAATGGTATATGGAAAAGTGCTCATTAGCACAAGGTCTAGCACCTTGCAAAAGCTCAATAAGCATTATCACCTACTGTTACTATAACATACAACATACTTTCTAAGTCATTTAAAAGCTGCTTCGTGACCCCAAGCATCACTGAGCTGTACAACAGCTTTTCTAAAATCAGGTCCCTCTGATCCATACTATTCAGTGTTGCTAGGGAGATCTTTCTTAAACGTCCACACCTATATTCCTCCAACGATTCTCCAGGCCTTTCTGATAAAGTCCCAACCCCTTTGCTTCTTGGACAAAGATCCCCTGGACCTGACCTTGGGTTGCCTGCACGGTCTCAGTTCCCAGTGCTCCCTACATCACGGTTTACACTCCAATTGCCCCCAAGTCTTTCAGGAGTATGTCCTGTTCACTCACACGTGGGGACTTTCATGCCTGTTGGCTCTTTTACTTGTAATGATTTCCCTTCCTTATTCTGGAAAACACCTTCCCTTCCTGTGGGAGTTGTCTCCTCTGCCAAGCTTTCCCCGCACCCCAGGGCAGATGTGTGCCCTTGTTTCTCAGGTCCCCAGTGACCCTCAGTGCCCTCACCATGCCCTCTGACACTACACGTATTGCCCACTGTCGGCTCCCCTGTTAAGCCAGGGCCTGCTGGATGGCCAGGCCTCGACATTAGTCTATCCCAGCTCCCAGCTCACGTCCTGGCATGCAGCAGGCACTGCATGTGTGCGTGTGCATGAGCGTGTGTGTGAGTGTGCATGTGTGTGCGTGCATGTGCACGTGTGCGCACACATTTGTGTGTGTACATGTGCACGTGTGTGCACACATTTGTGTGTGTGCGTGTGCGTTTGTGCATGCCCATTTATGTGTGTGCATGTGTGTGTGAGCATTTGTGTGTGTGTGTGTGTGTGTGTGTGCATGTGTTTTATATTGTTTTTATCCTGAATTATGGTGGGGGTAGGGATGACAAAATACCCTAATCTTGTCCTTGATCAGGAGACAACCGAAGGTCTTCATGTGGTCTTGGGGTCAATGTCAGTTTAACAGAACCCACTGTAGCTAGTTTAATGAGAGAAGGAATTTATCAGAGGATGTTAGGGAGCTCGGGGAATCTCCAGACGGCCAGAGAACCCGTCTCAGAAGGGAACAGCTCAAAGGACAGCGCTGGGCTGCCTGAACCCTTGGCCGCAAAGAGCACGGCGGAGATAGTGAGGGGCAGGCAGCACCCCCACGCACAATTCCTCCTCTCAGCCACAAAGCGGGACGGCGTCCCGGCCCCCACTGCAGGCAGGGCCCTGGTGCCCAGAACGAATGAGAGAAGTGGGTCCGCTCTGGGCCGCAGCGTCTGAAAGCTGGTGTATCTCCTCCACAGAGGACCGGGGACTAGGGCCTGGGGCGGCAGAGCCTCCATCAAGGAAGAGGCCCAGCTCCAGAGCCCCCAGGCTCCAACCGGAGGTGATGCGAGCGAGAAACGCAGCTGGTCATGGCTCAAGGCCATGCCAGTAAGACGTGGGGATCGTATGTTGGAGCTGCCAGCCCACCCTCACAGGTGATCAGGGGAGGGTACCCCCCGGCTCCCACGCAAAGCAGCAAGGCTGCCGCTGAGGCTGTGTCCCCGCGAAGGGGCAGCCTTCCAGGTGAGGGAGGGTGGCGCAGCCAGAGAGGGCGTGGAAGCTCCGCCCCTCCCCCTGGCTCCTTGCATCTCTTCCAGGTAGCTGGTCCTGAGGTGCATCCTTCATAGTAACCCGATGCTAGCAAGCAAGTGCTTCCTGCATTCCGTGAGCCTCCCTAGCCAAGGATCGAACCCTGGGAGGAACAGTGGGAACCTGGTCTACGGCCAGGGTTAGAAGTCGTGGGGGCCTGGGACCTGCGTCTGAGTGGGAGCAGGTCTCTCGCCCTGCAGGTCTGGCCCATCTTGGGCAGTGCCAGGGCTGAACTGCAGGCACAGACTTGCTTGGTGTGAGGACACCCCACACATTTGGTGTCAGAGTCCAACGAGCAGAAACAGATCCGAGCTGTCAGGCCAGGGTGTCTCCTACAGAAGTGAGGGCTGCCTCTCGCAGGAGCCGGTCTCCTGGTCTCCACGCGCCGTCCACGTATCCCCCTGCTCTGTCCCTCATCTCTGACCTCTCCTACCTTCACTCTGAGCTCCGCACGCCAGCGAGGGAGCTCCCCTCCCTCTAAACATTCTCAGATTTGCTCTGAGCCCACAGAAATATCAGGCCTCTGCCCACAGGGGTCCCCACAGCTAGCAGCTTCGGTTTGGTTGGGGATACGACCCTTTCCCGGCTCCAGACCATTAACCTCACCCCATTCCCAATCAATCTGTGGGGCCATCAATTCTGCCCCACAAATAAGTAGCTACAATCAAGAAAGAAGACATGGGGTTCAGGGGCCCTTCTCAGTCTGAACACATCACTTCTTTTTTTTTTTTAATTAATTAATTTATTTTTGTTACAGGTGTTTCTCCTTTTTCCCCCACTGATTCCCCCCTCCCCCACCCTCCCGCCCTGTCCCCAGCTTTGTTGTCCATGTCCACTGTTCATGCACACATGCATATAAGTTCTGTGGTTTATCTCCCCCCCCACCCCCTTTTCTGGGGATTGTCAGTCTGTGCCCCACTTCCACGTCTCTGGGACTACCCCATTCCTCAGACTGTTATGAACATATCACTTCTTTTGTGGGGTCAACCAGGAGCCTCAGCCCCCCCCTCTTCCTCCACCTGGAGGATGCTATCAGCTCCAAGGGGGAGTCAGACGTCACCTGTGTCCTCCACAGGGAGGGACTCAGGCAGGCAGAGCCTGTCCCACTCAAGGGACGGAGCATGAAAGATGATGACGGGGTTGGGGTGCACAGAGTGCAGACTCGGGACCTCTGCGCTCAAAGTGTGGCCCAGAGACCACCTGGCCTCGTGCTCAGCATCCAGGCATCGGGCAAAAGAGGCCGAACCCCTCGATCCACACCCCAGCCCTGTCCTGTTCCAGCTGCGTGACCACGGGGAAGCACCCAACCTCTCTGCACTGCCAATTTCTTCCTCTGTATAGGGGATCACAATCGTTTCTACCTCACAGGCTGCTGTCAGAATGAAATGGGGAAAGGCAGGGGCAGCCAAGAACGAGGTGGTCAGCATTCCGCTGTACCGGGGCGGTGCCTAACATCCTGTACAATTTTAGTAAACGTCTGAGAAAGGGAGGAGGGAGGACGAGAGGAGGAAGGAAGAGAGGAGGAAGGAAAAGGGCAGCAAGAGGCTCAGGCCAGAGCTGTGAATAATTAACACATCTGATCTGGGCAGGCGGCTTCTGGGTGGGGGTCTCAGGCTGCTTACCGCTCCCCCTGTGGTTCCGCTCTGCTGCCCCCCAGCCCTACTGAGAAGACCACTCAGCAGCTCCCAGGGGCCCCAGGTGCAGGGCACCTCGTGGGGCCAGCACCAGGAGGGAAGCCTCCTTGTGAGGGAGCCAGGTGGGCCCGCAGCCCTCCTGGACCTTGTGGTCCTGCAGCGGCCGCCCCGCGACAGGCCACCGCTTCCCTGCAGGCCACACTCGCTCAGTGGGAGGAGAGAGGCGGGGCCTGCTCCTGTCACAGCAGGACCTCAGACAAATCACTTCCTATCCGGGTTTCCCCATCTGTAAAAGGGCGAGGGTAACAGACCCTGCCTGGCAGACTCTCATGCCTGGGGTCCTTCCAGCGCTAGAACTATGTGTTAGATAAACAAATTATTAGCATGGCCTCCAGCACTCTCTCTGCACAAAGTATTCATCGTGTGTCCGGCAAATGCCAAACAGTCAAGTTGGTTTGTATCTTGTTCTGCAGAAAGCTGGGCAGGGGTGGGTGTCTGTAGAAAGGAAACACAGCCCAGGCCCTGGCCCCGCCCAGCAGCTGACTTGGCAGATAGGTGGTGGGGGATGGGCTAGTCCTTTCTCAATGTTCATAGGTGTTTCCTTATGCTGAGAACCTCTGGGCTCCCCCGTGAAGGGAAAGCGCATAAACCAAAGGAGGAGAATGACCAGCCTGCAGAGTGATGAATAACCCCTTTCCCCGGAGTTCAAGAGCCTGTGCACTACAAGAATGAAACATTTATGAATCTAGTTTTTAATAGCATACATTTATCATATGCGAATTACACGTCAAGCACAATGCTAAGCTCATGATAGCCTTTATCCCACTGCGCCCTCACAGCAGCCCAGGAGGTGGGGACTGGTATCACCCCATCTACAGAGATGGAAACTGGCAGCACCTGGCAGCCCTCACCGCTTCCCGTGGGCCTGCACACAAGCCCAGCTGTGCCTGACCCTGAGGTCACGCTCTGTGCTGGAGAGAGACCTGGCCCCTCGCCCTGTCTTGCACCCTTGTCTTGCTTTGGGCAAATCACTGCCCTCTCTGGGCCTGTTTCCTCATCTATAAATGAGGTGTCTGGGTGCCAGCTCTGTTATTCTTAGACCTATAATCCTGTGACCCCCTTTTGCTTAAATCCACTGCTCCTTCATTTTCCTCTCTTTTCAATTTCCTTGACCTCAAAATGTATTTGAAACCAGGGTGACGAGCCTGGAGACCTGCTCTTAGGAGACGTAATTACAAGATCTTGGCCTCTCCAGGATTTGAAGCAGGGAACCCTCTTTCTGATTTATTTTTCTATAAAATCCAAGCACTCTGGGGAA